TGTTGTTGTGGTGTTGATTGATGATGATGATGGTGATGATGATGATGATGATGATGAACATCACGTATAAGTTCATTACCAGATATTTTATTTAATAATTGTGATAGAGATGTACGAAATACCCATGGATCATCTGAACTTGTAATCGTTGTTACAGCTATGAAAACAAAAATAATAAAAATAAAAAAAATTTCAAAATTATTTATACTATTATTATGCAATGAATGAATTGAATGTAAGGAAGGATTAGATTTTCTTGATGATTGTCGAGAATTTCCAGGTGAATCATGATGTTGATCATGTGAATTACCTCGACGTATAAGACTTTCATTTCCAGTATGACATATGCCTATATATATATATTATTAATTAATATATTTTAAAAACTAATTTGAATAGTTTGAAACGAACCCGCTCGAGTTTTTGAATCATTAATAGCATCATCAGTAAATTTTTTTTGTCGAAAAAGTTTTTCAGGTAAAAATGAAAAACTTGATGCTATTGGTGAAGAATTTATTATTGTTGATGGTGTTGTTGTTGTTATTGGTGGTGATGTTACTGTTGCAGATGGAAGAATACCAATAGCTGATGTTGAATCAATTGGTATTATTAATGAAGGTTTTTTAATAAATGATAAAAATAAATGTCGACATAAATCTTCTGGTATATCAGAATTATCAACAAGTACATCAAGAAATTGTCGAAAACCTTTATAATCAAGTTGCTAATAGAAAAAAAATTCTATATATATATATATATTAAAAATATCAAATAAAATAACCTCATCATATTTATGAGCTAACCAAGTTGGATCTGTTTCAAGAATAGCAACAACATCTTTAACTTTCTTGGGAGCATCTGAATAATAATTAAACAACTATTATCATCAAAATAATTAAAATATTAATTAACTTACATGATATATAATCTTGTAGACGTTGAAATTCGTCCGGTGAAAGCTTATTCCAATCAAATCGATTCATGGATGACAATCATCGGCGGGCAAATTTGTTTCATGGCTCGCTCGATTATAAACTATTTGAGAGACTGAATACTATATTTCGTCGAAAGAATATTTATTTTTTCTCATTCAAGTCATCTAAACAAAAAAAACAAACGTACGAAAAGAAAAAGTCGATAACTTATATAACTAATTATGGCGTTCGAACAATGTTTTTTTTTTTTTGAGATCGCCTTTCAATTTAATGCATCTGGTGCTCTGCTCATCCCTCTCTCTCTCTCTTATGTTTTTTGCTATTACTGACTGGTGTCGTCAAATACTAATTTGACGCTCTACATCATCCTGTATGACAAGATTCCCGTTGAGAGTCACAGAGCACACAACGATAAGACGGAAGGAAGGAAAAAGAGAGAGAAAAAAAAATGTAGAAGAAAAATATAGTCCAAAAGAAGAGTAGAGTTTATCCCAAAGGAGTAGCTTTGACACTTGTTTGTTATGTCCTGCATTTGGCCACATTAACTTGAAATGGCAAACGTTAGTTATATGTTATTTCTCCATAAATTTCATCTGGGAGTCATCAGATTACTTCATTTTGATGGCATCAAATCTTATCAATATCTTAGTATCGTCATCTAATAATAAGTTGTCGTCTAATGGGGGGTCACAATTTATTTATGTTGATAATCGAATAAAGAAAAGTAAAAAAAAAAAAAAACTACAAATCATTAGAGGTTTTTCCTACTACTAACTAAACATTTCCAAATGTAACGCCTAATGATTACCAACAATGAAATATTATGTCAATAAATTGTCAAATATTTTAATCGATCAAGAGATATAATGGGAACAAAAAAAAAAAAAAAACTTTTCTCTCTATTGTCTCGTCTTTTTTTTTGTTTTCTTATATATATATATATGTCTGTTTCTCTTCACACACATATATTTCCTCATCAGTTATTTATTGCTTGAAAGGCAACAGTTTAATTAGGGGACACTCGGCGTGTAAGAGAATAAAAAAAAAAAAAAAAGAGAGGCAAAAACTGTTGTTTGCAAAAGAACTATCTACGAATATTGATTTAGTCGTATAATGAAACACTCACCGTATACATATATATATATTTATGCAACTAGTTTTCTGCTCATAATTCATTTCAATAACTTCTCCTCATTTTTTTTTGAATCTCATTTGCATCTGTTAGTTCTGCTTCTACTATTATTATTATTATTATTACCATCACTAGTTCTTTTGCGCACCATGCTAGTACTATCACATCGATATTCTATTAGTGTTCCATTGACAGCTACATACATGCGCATATTTATATATATATATAAGAAAAAAGAACATAGTCATTCATTCATTTAGTTTCGAATAGACCAAAAATTTACAAGCTAGACTTTTTTTTTAATTTCCGCCTGTTCTTCATCTTTCATTAGCTCGAATCACAAAATTGTCTGCACCTGTTTTTTAGTCTCTCTATGTTGATCTACGTGTGCAATCATTTAAGAAGAGAATAACTAAAAAAAAAAAGAACAAGAAGAAAAACAATAATGAACTACCTGAATATATATATATATATGTAATTAAATATTGTCGTTGAGTTTTGATCTATATATGATTAAGTTTGTGTATTTTATCTTTTTCTCTTTATTTTTTTCGCTCATGCGTACCAATGTGTATGTATAGAGGGAAAAGAGTGACACAACTCGAGTTCGATAATCACGATAATAATGAGAGATGCTGCTTGGGGCTGAAGAAGAACAGCCCGGTTAGAAGTTGGCTGGATCAAGAGGAAAATGTACCGTGTTCTTCTTTTTCTTCATTCCTTTTACTTGCCGCATTTTTTTTTTGTGTTCTACTCTCTATCTAACGCACATATATGAAGAGAACTTCGACTTTCTCTGCCGTCGTCGTTGATGTTGTTACTGTGAGTTTTTCCATCATTTCTTTACCGCTATTAAAGAAGAACAGAAACGAAAGAGAGACAGATAGACAGACACAGCAAAGAAGCGTTTCTCTTCTCTTGCTCTCTCTCTCTCTCTCTCTCCTTCTCTTCCTTTTTTTTCCCGTTATAATGTTGGTTGTGTGATCTTGATGACGGTTGCAACGACAGCAGCAATGTTAGTAGTAGTGTGATGATGTTAATAGTAGTACTCCTCCACATGGATAAATACCAAAAATGTTTCCTCTTGGGAAAATATTCTCATTGACCTTAAACTATTGTCTTTTATTAGGAGGATTCGAACGAATAGAATTATGTTTTTCTTTTTTTTTTTTTTTTTTTTTTTTTGACTCGTTGATTATTCTGACAATAAATTGGCTATTAAACACAGAAGTTTGTAATAAAAAAAATCTGATGCCTGCGCATCCCAAAGGCATAAATCATTACAATCAAATACAGATAGAAAAATTGACTGATCATTTCTTTTTGTATGACTCTCTTTTTTTTCTTGTAAGCCTAACTTATTGTTAGTCAAAACACGAATGAATAATCTATATCAATGAGTATTTAAACTATAAAGACAGCCATATAAATGTTAATTTCTATTTAAATATAGAATGAACATGTTTAAGTGGACCAAAACAGTTCAGGAAATGACATTTTCTCGCTTAAAGAATATCAAATACATATATAACTATATCATATATATTACTTATAAAGATTAATTTCTAACTTTCTTTTTTGTATTTCGTGCGGAAAAGTGTTTAGATGTCATAAACGGATTTTTCATTTTTTGAATAAAAAAGAATGTTGTTAAAACGACAAAATATCGTTTCCTGAACTGTCTATGAAGAAAATAAAAGGAAGTCAAAGAAAAATGAGAAAATCTAGAGAAAAACAATATGAAATATACTAAACTTAATCCTTAAATATTATGTTTAATGTAGTAGAGATAAGCTGATTGTGGTCTTCTTTTTTTATTTTTCTCTTATTTTTCAATAGATGTTTTCTTGTCACTTGAGTCGAATAGAATTACTTGCCCTGTCCAATTGAAGATAATAATTTTTTTAGTATACAGTTGACAGAAATCGTAGAAAAAAAAAAAGAAGGAAATCATCAATCATTATTAATTTACTTGAGATCTTAAGCGCCGCATGTTCGTATATATATATATACTTATTCATTGTTATTACTATACAGATTGACTAGTAGCAATGATTATTTTATTCGATCAATTCAATTTGCGTGCAACTATCGTCGTCTTTCTCTCAAAACTGATTTCCGCCTTGAGCTATTCAAAAACAATAACAACAACAAAATAAGAGTTCAATCGTAATAGACTAAATAGATGGAATACATAAAAGGAGAGGGTGATATTTGAGATAGTAGTCCATTATCTAATTTTCTGCTTCATTCACCATCGATTGACTAGTATATATGCAAACGCATGGACTAACACTAATCTGTTTTTTTTTCTTTTCAACAGTTCAATTGATAGAACAAGAAAGAGGAAGAATGATAAGATAGGCCTATTTCCAGTTTAGATAAATAACTATTTGCCGACAAAGAGAAGAATAGTTTTCACCAAATGTACTAAAAAAAAAATCTAGATATGCTTAAGATATTCTCATTAAATATAAATGGTTACATTGCATTAGCCTTGACAGGAACATATACACAAAATAGTTAGATTCTATAAACACGATTATATTTATTCGAATATGAAAAAAACAAAAATTCTTTTTTTTTTCCTCATATAATAAATATGCATCAACAAAAAGAAGAACAAATTAGACACATTCTGATCATAAGAAGAAAAAAAAAAGAACGATATGCATATACATATGTGGGTGTAAGTCAACAGATATCACCCGAGATAAGAATCGAATTACATATATATAAACAATTAACACAATAAGATTAATAATAGGCACGTATGTGATATAAATAATGATAATCTGACAAAAATAAGATTAGTTTTAATTAATAAGTTAAATTTTGTCACTAAGAACAAATATTCTATTTTTATTTGGTCATTCAAAGTAAATATGTTCATCAAGTATACGATTAGTTTTTTCTGTTTAAAAACAATATAATTAAATATTTAACATGTTAATCGATTCATCAAGTTCAATGTCATACCAAATACCTGTTTTAATAGAAATTTCTTTAATAAAACGAATAGTACCTGATTTATTATATATAGAATGATCGATATTGACAATCACATGTGAACCAATTATATAATCTTCACTGTTATTATTGATTCTTGGTATTGATAATAATTCACTAGATGAGCTATATAATATAATATGTTTTTGTTCAAGTATAATTTGATTTTCTTGTTGATTATTATCATCTAAATCGATAGTATGTTTTATTTCAAAAGTTGATGTTTGTATAGGTTGTAATTGTTCTTCTTCAATAAATAATGGACATGAGATCATACTTAGTGTTGAACTATTTAACTGTGATCGACTTCATGATAATATTGACTCATTAGGCATATTTATTAAATGATTAACATTATTTTCTTGTCAATAATTTGCTGGTGCACAAAGTACATTCTGTAGAAATAGAATTATTAGAAAATTAATAAATATAATTGTTGAGCTATCTATGATCGATTCTCATTTATCAATAAACAATATCTATTATGTTTCACATTTGAATGCTAGTGGGACTTAGCTAAAAGCTTTTCTTTTTGTATTACAATTATTTAGCATTTTTATATTAATATTAGATTAGAATTATTTTTTTGATACTAAGATATACAAAAATCATGTCAAAACTACTATTATAAATTCATGCATTTGACTCACGAGAGGATTTCTTATACTGTCAACGAATTATTGAACTGAAACAATGATCAATGAGTGAATCATTTAGATTAAATTTTAGTATGGATTCAGCTTAGGAGTAAAAGCAAGATTAGAGTGAACAACTATGATAAGAAAGATAAAAAAAAGAAAAGGACGACCAAAAACAATTAGTGCAATCTCTGCAGGATTAAAATATAAAATACGATGTAGCCGCTGTTGTTAAACACAGGGAGATTGTTTTATTCTATATAGCTTGGGACATATTTCTTCGTCCTGTGGAAATACAATAAGGAATTTTTAGCGATGGTCTGTCGTGATTTGTCAAGGCAGGATTAGATGAATCTCTTATATTTCGACAGTTCGTCGCGGTCGGATTTCACAAATACATTATAATAAAGAAAATATAGATCTTTTGCACATTCGGGAAAGTTCTTAAGTGTCCTTTTCTGGTCAACATCCTTCTGTTTTACTAATTGTTATAGGAAAACGTTTACGTAAAAACTGATTGAGAAATCAATATTAATAATTTTAACAATCAAACGTTGTGGCTGATTTATTTATATCAACAGGATTGAAGCTTCGAATAGTAATTAAACGATATATTTCCATCGTTGGTGGTGAATTTCAAGAAACTGCAGTGTTTATCAGAACAAAGTGTACTAATCTTAATGTCTTTTTCTTTCATTTCCGACGCGTAAAAACAATTTTTTTTCTATACCAAACGATAGAAAATTTCAAACTGTACAAAAATTGTCGTCGAACTTTATCTTTCAAACAAGTTTTCACAATTGAAGCAAAATTTTAAATCTTTCTCATCGACCAAATCTTTCAGTGGCATTAGCAAGAAAAAAAAACAAATAAACATTAAAGCATTCTTCAATGAAATTTTAGCTTGCTACAAAATTCTCCATCAAATGATACATTTACCAAATTCGATAAGTATTTCAGCGAAAATATTTTCAAGTAAAAAATGTGACAAAAAAAAGATTGTTTTTCAGTAGATTAATGTTGTTATTACTTTGTTAATCGAATTAGTATAAGAATGTTGAATATTTTATCTTATAAACTAGATCGTTTTGCTTGGTATTAAGTTCTATATCCAATGGAACTGTAATGTTTTTTCTATAAATGACATATACAAATTTCAAATCACACAAGATATATTAAGATAATAATAACAGGATAAGAAAATCTTATTGATAAGAATGGCTATTTTTTTTCTTATTTTTATCTAGAAGAAAAGGTCGGAATGTTCATTTTTCATTAAATAAATAAAATTTTCTTTTTTTTTTCGTTAGAAATCTATCTCAAGACTAGAAATTTGTTTTTTTTTTGTCATCCATCAATCACTTTAAATGATAATAGCATAGTACTATTTGTACTTTATAGTTCTACAGAATCGTATCGGAATCTCTTGTTCAAATTTACGAATATGACATTATCAACGTTCAGCAACGGCTTAAGAATGAACAAAAATCACAAGGGTTTTTAGTCTTTTGCAATTATGGCTAAGAAAGTTTTTGTAAATAGTTACCAATGTAATCTTCGATTGTATTGTTTAAATAAATTTCTGAATGTCTAATTAAATTCTTTGCAAGAAGATAACGAATTCGATCTACAACTGTCTATTCCTACTACTTTTGTCTAGTACAAGTGAATACAAAAACGAGCTTATTGGACTTCAGATGAACTTCGAAAAGCATGTTTTGACTATAACTGTGCTTTTCATATCGATATTCTAGATTCATCACTGCATTGGTGGAAATTCTTGAATAAACTTTTAGGTTAGAGCAGAGGTATTTTAAGAAAGTAGCAATATTTGATGAAACTTTGACAAAGCCTTGGATTATTGCCATTGCTTTTTCAATAGAAATCAGAGTGAAATAATCATATACTTACTCTCAAGCTAGTTTCTGTTAGCTGAAAAGTTGTTATTTTCTTTCTCAAATCAATTTCACAGAACTTCTGAGGTCTTATCTTCTTCAATGTAATCTTCAATAACTATGATTTGTCCGTTCTCTCTGAATGAGTATTATTTAAAAAATATATATCTGAATCGATTTTCTTGATTATCTCAATTGAATATGTCGTGTTAATTGATTTAAATTTCATCGATGATTGGTATAATCATTACTATTTGTATCGTCATCATCATCATCTTGATTAACAGAAGGATCAGGCGAAAAAAAAATTTTCATGAATCATTATTTGATGAAGAGTTTGATGTACTACTTGAACTAGTCGAATATTCATATAATATGATTGGTGATTTATTGTGACTTATTTTTCTAGATTGTTTAACAAAGATTACAAAACTTTATTATTGCCTTTTATTGAAATTGATGAATGAAATAAGTTTGTATCTATAACAATTTGTTGACTTGAACTAGTATGATTTGTTGAAACTGATGATAAAACATCAGCAGTAACTTTACAAATAGGCGGACTCATATTGATTGTTGTTGATGGGTTTTTTCCCATGAGAATACAAATTGATTTGACATTACTTTTAATTTTGATTAACTATAATCAAAATACAATGGCATTTAAATAATTTCCATTGACATACTTTATGTTTACTCGACAGTTCTAAGAATAATTTTTATTTATCTAGATCTTGTTGAAGATTAGTAATTCTTGGATATATTAGCACATAATGACAAAGAATATATTGTGATCTAAAAAAAGAAATGTTTTCTTTTTCGATTAGTGATACTCTTTTGTTTTTATATAAAAAAAACACAAATCGTACTTGTTTGAGGTGAAATTAGTGAATTTTTATCAAAAAAATTGAAGCATAACTTGTGCGTGTCTAACACTGGTTTGTCTATATAGGCAATGTCAATACAAAAAACTATGTCTTTAATTTTGATTTTTACCTTTGCCAAGGCAAAAGAAAAATATAACATAGTAAATCAAGGAAGCACAGATGCACGCTTATGAAAAACATCAAAAAGCAATTCTTGTCTGTAAATAGTATTAAATATTTTAGAAGAATTTATTTCAAAGGTTTTTTTTTCATTGAACTAAAACTTTGATAAAATAATTCAACTTTTCTTTTCTTTTATATGTTCATGTCAAAGGACTTTACATTGAAGATAAAAGTAATTAATCTACGAGAAACAAAAAAAACAAAGCTTGTCCACAGAAAAAATTGAATTATTCAGTTTCAATATTATTTTATTTCTTTTTTGGACAAATAAAAAGAAAACATTCAATTTTTAAAACAGGAAAAAATCTTGTAGCAAAATAATAAACTTCACTGCTATTTATTTTTGCTAAAGATAGAATCGATGATTTATTTTTTTTTGCACTTTATAATAAACAATCAAATGTCCAATAAAATAAATGCAGTTGATTAGTAATTGAACAAGCTGAAAACATTGCATTGTATCACCCGTGCTTTGTGACTGTCTTTCACAAACATATAGGAAAATACAGGTTTCTGTTAAAAATATATGACAAACTCTTTTTTTTTACCGGAGTACAGGCTCGAGTTTATGAAAATCAAGGAATAAAAGTTTTTTATCCAAAAATGTCGGATCAAGTGGCAGCTTGTTTTCGATTTATTCACAGGAGCTTATCAATATGCATATGAAAACAAATATAAACTAAACACAAAGTACAAAACTTAACGAAGATGAAAAACGTTGTTTATTATTTTTTCTTCAAGTTGAGTTATTTGTATTTTTTTTGAATTCTCATATAAAACGCATACGGAGCTGAAAAAAATCTTACAAAGAATTTACAAATATCTTATTGTAAGGTTCTTACAAGGTCTGATGATTTAGAATCCTGTAGGATCTTACACGATCGTATAACATCATAATTATAGACCTCACGTTTACAATTAGTTTTGATAACGATGCTTTTGTGCATTTAAATAAATATTGAAGCGATTAAATACATTTTAATATAGACAATCCTTTTTTAGCATTGCCAATACCTATAGATCGTAGTGATGATCTGTTAAAAAGTCATTTGATAGATAATTTAATCAATTTAATTGAGTATCAGTAGATTTTCTTTTGTTGGAATTTTTTCATGTTTTTATTTTAGATAATTGCAATGATCATAGCCAACAATTCTTCTTTTTGTATTTAATTTTAAGAAGACTCGTCTTCTGACTATTTTTTCGTTTTTTCATTTTTTATGCTCCTTGTATAGATTTAAATCCTCTCTATCTAATAAGCATATTTTTCGGAAAGCAAAACCATCTTTTTTGCATGTAAAAAACTCGAAAAAATTCATTTAATACTAAAAAACTCAAAAAGTGCAACTTTCTTTGCTATCTTCTGAAAGTCAGATTTTCAAACATAATCTTGAAGTTTTGCCCACTTTTTTCTTAGATACTATGATTGATTGGACTCAAATTTTTCTATCAGTATTTCAATCATACTGGAATACGAGTTATTTTTCTTGAAAACATTGTACCTTATGGATTTAGGCACATTTGGCAAAATTTGGTCCATTCCAAAAAAAAGCTCTTTTTTAATGGTTTTTTTTTATAGCAGTTGCGATGTCTTACTTCTGCTGAGGCTCAAAAAAAATTTCAGTCCTGAAAAACGTAATATGGATGCTTGTGAGGTGGATTCAGGTCATTTTTAGCACCTGATCTCCGATTC